TTCAAATCGAGGAAACACGAATAACACTCTACCGCAAGAATTCTGATGGCAACTGTCAGATTTGGCGCAAACATAATTATCTTCAATGGTGCTGCGACCTTTTTATAACGTACATGTCTTATTTCTGTTGGGAACAGCGCATAAATTGCTGTTTATGATGTTATGTAATAAAATATCAAAGAAAAATGCGGTTGTTGCATATGTGCATCAATGCGCACTGTAGAGTTAAAAGTACTATTAGGTTGGTAGGAAAATAATGTTGGTTTCCAAACTATATATTTAAATCCACATATCACAAATTGACTTTCCTAGCTGTCTCGGGTGGTCAATAACAGTTGGATATCGAACCGTTGTTCGTGAATCAGCTTCAATCATTGCCTTCAATTCGAAATCTCCACTTCGAAATTTGTTGAGCCAACGCTGCACCGTACTGTTCATTTACGGTGTCTTCTCCAAATCCATCATTGATATTACGAGTCGCAGTTGCAGCTTTATTACCCAGTTTATATTCATATAAGAATATTTCACGAACTCGCTTAGTATCCATTGCGAAGTAAATAACTTGAAGTGAGCACTAATTAACGGTAAAAACAAAAGCATACCTATCACTGTAAGATGATATTGGAACGTACATAGAATAAAGTAAACTGTTATCCCAAAACCAAGCGTCCAAGCTCAAAAGTTCGAAAACCGACATTAATTTCTTACCAAGCTAATGAATTCGCGAGATCTCGAGGGGCAACGTTTTCAGAGGGAACCCTTCCGCGGCCCCCCTGTCTACCCCCGAGGGCAGTGATTAAAATTATTGCCCGAGCCAAAGTCAACACGCCGCTCGAACAAAGGATAAACACATTCGTGGGCAGCGGTACACGAGAAGTGGCGCATCCCAGTCCTCGCGATTAGCATCGCAAAATATTTCTCGTCTCCCCTGGCGAGGCTCGAGTCGCGTCGTTTGTACGCGGTGTTCGGGGGCCGCGTTTTATATTGCTTTCCTGTGATCTCGCGTCGAGGACGAGGAGCACAGCGAGGAGGGCGCAAAAGGCTGTGCGCGACACGCGGCAGCGAGACGAGCAGGAGGAGAAAGCAGAAACCATAGGAGGATGAGTAAAAAGCTTTGGTGGAAAGTTGCCGCAGGCGCGCTTTGTAGTTATGGACAAGTTGCACGGTTGGTGACGAGCAAAAGAGGCAATTTGTTAGAAGAGGAGCGCGTTTGTCGCGCGCGATACATTTAGGATTCCACCCCTGCCCCGTGATCCGTTCCTTTTTCTTGGTCCTTTTCCTGCTCGTTTCACCTCATCTGCTCTTACAAAACGGCGTGGGAGGAGGGAACGTTTCTTGCCTTCTCTTGGGTCCTTTCTTTTCACACAGTCCCCTGTTTTGTGGCTGTGTCCTCCTTCTTTATGGAGGTTTTGCTTCCAATTCATAAATCAGTGTTAACGAGTCGACTGTCGTGTACGATGCAATGGTAAGTTTCAGAATTTAAACATCATTCTAGTTCGAAGCGACAGAAATTCGTCTAATAAATTTTCTTCATCACTGGCGGACCGCTACAACCCTCTTCATATTCACCACAGACACCAATGTCATTTCCATCCTCCATGTATACAAAGAGAAGCGCTTTCGTCGTGCGCGATTGAGGATACTCCACGTCTCGCTATCCTTTCCTTTTTCTCCGTTTATCTTTTTCCCGCTCATTTCACCTCATCTGCTTCTACAAAGTGGAGGGAAACGTTTCTTGCCTTCTGCTGGTCCTTTCTACAGCGTGCCCTCCCCTCCACTTGTTTCGTTCCTGTGTTCTCTTTCTCTCTGTGGGTTTTGCTCGCGACCGACAATCGGTGTTAAAGTGCGTGAACGCACTCGAAGCACGCGCGCCCGCTTGCGAGCATAGGAGGCACGCACCGCGACCCACTCGAAAACAAACGGTGGGTACTCGTCCCGACACGGCGTGACTTAATTAATGGAAGCGCGAGAAGTGTCGACAAAGTCGTCTTTGTCGAGAAGTTCGCGGGACTGGGTCAATAAAGACGCGAGACTACCGGCTGTTTCGACTAATTGCCGCCTCCTACGTCGATCTTTCGAACAGCGCGCTCGAGATCATCGACTACCGAATCGAGCCACGACCCAGGCTATTGGGTACTTTATTCGATAGATTCGAGGGTCACAACGTCGGATTTTACAATGACGATAATTTTATATTTGAATGCCACTAATTGGAAATCATTATTCGATTATTAGCATTTGAATTGGGGTAATGTTTGAATACAGAAAAATTGGACAAGCAATCCCAAAACCTCAGCCCTTGCTGCGGACAGTAACTCGTTCCAAGTCTGTTCAACGATTATCTTTTCCGCGAATTGATCTGCAAATTGCATAGATTGCGTGGAAGTTGTTACGTGCACGTGCACCCTAGAATTGCTACCTTTATACATTAGAAGAGATTACCGGCAATAGAACAGAAGGAGCGGATAATGGGCGACATTTTATCCGAATGATAGACAACGAATAAAATCAATGTTTAACAATTTATTCGTGACGTTAAACAATTTTTATTTGTTCACTGTGGAATATCATAATCTGATAATCATAATTCTCATTTCTATTCAACGAATTTTCACCTTTTATATAGACAAGAATTTTGTCCATCTCAGGTAATAGGAGACACTGAATCGTCTACAGGTTTCATTTTTTGGATGTTTCGTCCGTTTGCTTGAAGAATGTTTTGGACCTTCCTCGTGCCACATGGCGTTGAAGAGATTGTTCGTGAAATTCGGAATTTCCGGTTGGAAACCGAGAAGGCGGGATCCCTAACCGAGAAATGAAATTGGAGTCGTGAACCAGAATAGTGATAACGCCAGTGCGTATACTCAAAAGCCGTATTTTAGACGCCACAATGACGACGTTGCTAAACTATGTTAATTCAGGCAGGATGACTAAGTTATTAGAGTAAATGTTTTTTACCCTGAAACAAATTGAACATAGAACTCGCTGTTCTTTTACACGACCATCACCAATAGAGTGTGTTAATCTCTCAAAGAAATCTTTCTTAACGCTGCAATGAACAATATGTTTCTTTCAAAATTTTTAATTTAACTGTTTTCTAAATACTTATGAAGTAGTCCATTTTTCTCATATTATACCACACTTTTCAGAATAAGGACAAATATATTACAACTCGTAGCATCTTTTTCCTCTTCTGGTCTATCGCGTCCGAACGAGGTTTATCGTCGACCCTTGAAAATAAATAGCTACCCACCAAATAAGCCCCTTATCTGCCCCCATAAATAGAAAATAGCTCGACTCGATAAGTCCCCGTTAAGATGCTTCGTACCGCTTCCAGACACACGTCGACCAACATTTTTCATGGATTTAATTAAATTCTGACTCGTAAAACGGGTATTCACACCAACGATTAAATCTAAACGATTACCCTGTAACAAAAGCTATTTAATCATAATGAATTAAATATAAGTATAAATACAAACATAATTAAATATAAAAGAATCTTCTACAACCGTCTTTCTAAACAGAACAAAAACATTGGTTATTGGATAAATTCTTACATTATGCAAACAAAAAGTAATACTGAGCGTACATATTAATTGTTCTACGAGATGACGATGTGTTGATATTTGTACTTTTTTTCTGAAGAAAGGAAATTATGTGTTCATTTCCACTTAAGTCAATGAATAGTAAATATTGCTTGCAAGATACCTTCGTGTTTTAAAATATATAAAACGAAATGTAAAAAAATACACAAGACCAGAAATCCGTGTTATCGATGATCGTCCTTTCAATAATTGATAGTTTTATATCGTTGCATGTCTCTATCAACGCATCCTGGTGCATCATCATATCACACATGGTGTTACCGTATGCACAGTGTGATTCATGGTCACGGTGAAATCATAAATAATCGCTCAACAATAGCGTGCAAACATACACTAGCTCATTATTCTCTGTAGACATTTGGAGCAAGCCTGTTATACCTGGAAAATTATGCTCTGCGCGTTTATTACCTAAAAACCGTATTAACTCTTTCATTCACTGGTCATTTAAAACATAGAAGACAAATTGTTTGTATTTCCTACATTAGATCATAAATAATTGATTCATCAAAACAATCATTTCCATTATTATACAAATTTTGAAATGTAGATAACATTAATATCTCATTGAATAATTCTAAATATTTAGCCGGATGTAAACGGTGGAAACGAAAAGGTTAAACGCGAAAATTCCTGATTATTAAGCACCGTACACAAACAAGCATCGAGGATGCGCGATCTCATCTAAACAAGGTTTCAGTTTTCATCAAACACGCACCGTGGATCCAATTACTGCTTCTTTACCCGGTAGCTACGTGAAACGTATCACGCGATCAAAAATAATACACAGAAATATTAATCGCAGTACTCAGTGTAAAATGAATTTAAAAAGAAAACGCTGCACAAGTTTGCTCGCGCTCCAAAGCGTGTTCTTTCGTTTAATTCACAGAACTATCCGAGGCAACGATTCGTGGTATATTAACCGTACGGCAGATACGCATCCACGAGAACCTCTCATAAATTGTCAGAATTAATTGGAAAAATGTAGCGATCAATCGAGCGTAGGTAATTTAACGCAGGCACGGTACCGGTGTGTGTAATGACTCGTCCGATACAGTTTACGTCTAAACACAGTTACCTGTGCCCAATTAACCGCGGTTAACGCGGAAGTAGCGTGGAAACGCGACGAAAAAAAAACAATTGAAAACGGTAGTCGATACGGCACGAAACACTTTTTCATTCGGAGCACACAAATCTTTTCACGGAGCGCATTCGAAAAGAACGTGACGTATAACGCTTTATTGCACGACGAATTGACAGAGAGGGAACCTGTTTCACGGTCGATCGAGACGAACGGTCACGTCTCGTATAGTTTGCGTCGCGTTAAACGTGAAATAGGTCCCCGAAACGACGAAAGAAGCGAGTAAAAGCAAAGTCTGCTACGGTGACACCCACCTTGCCAGTGGACCACTCCTCTTCGCTCGTTGACCCAAAATCTTCTCGACCACGGTGACATTTCCGCTTCTCGCTGCCTCTAGCAGCTCCTGGTCCTTCCCCATGGTCCATTTACACCGTAATCAACGGCTGGTGTTCACCTGCACACTTGTCAATTTCTGTTTTTACTACGATTACTCGCGTTTCATTGATCCAGCGTGGCCATCTTGGGGCCGACTGCGTCGCCACCTCGCGGTCACTTCGCGAACACTGCAGCGCGCGATAGAGAAGGGATATACCGTAGCCCGTGATTATTGGCCGCTTGAAAGCGAGACGGAACGACATACACCGAGGACTCGATGTGTACCGCGCTCAGGCATGTAGCCGACTGTCAAGTGCCAGCTGTTGCGCCGTACTGATTTTCCGTAACTTCACGCCGACACGGCTCGCCAGCAATTTAATTGAATAAGTGTGTCACGGGGCTCGTAACGTCGATCGACATGAGTCGTCGACTTATCAGAGACCCACTGATCCTTCTATTACTCGTCGGTAGCAGTTTGGCCGTGGTGAAAAATACCAAAACCTTGTCTCTCAAAGGTAAGCACATAACCTCAAACTTCCATTATTCTTATTCGCGATTTTCTTATTCGAAACGATACATTCGACGGGTCTTCGTTCTGTTTTTACATTCGATCAATTTTTTTACGTATGGTGAACAACCGTGTTACGTTCGGTGGAATATCGGAATTGTTTTCCTAACCAATGTCAACATTTTGCGTTGTTGATATACAGTTCTCAGACAAAAGCATTAACGCCCCATTGTTTTACAAGATTAAGATTTGGGACGTATTGACCTACAGCGTTTGTTACACCGTAATTTATATTTGAAATAATATTATTTTTAGGCAATTAAATAAGAATTTTTGATATTTAGTTATTAAATCCCCTCTCTAAGAAACGTATTTTATCCTTTTAGGCATTAAAAGTGTTTCTTAGGCATTTCTGTTGCGAACTCAAGGTCTTTCCATTTTTGTAAAAGTACATGCTCCACTATTTCTCGATACAGTGATTCTGACTCTTTTTTCTAGTTTCTCTATTTCATTGAATTCGTATCTAGGATTTGTTGTATCAGCCTTGTAAGCATTTCTTTTGTTCGATACTGTAAGCATGCAGGTTGTTCCAAAATTGTTTAGTCAACATACACATGTCTCCAAATGCATTGCTTCCGAGATAGAGATATTGTAAATTGTACAATCAGTATTCAACATTTAAATAAATATTCATTAATTCATTAACTAAATGTAAATAGTCATAGCGAATATGAAGTATATAAGATATATTATCTTGAGGTTGAACTTGAAGTATACGAGATATATTATCTTGAGGTTGAACTTGAAGTTATCTCAAACACATTGTTCATTACAGACTATTTATCAATATATATACAATTTCAGTGACTGCTTAGGAGTTTATCATACAATTTAGAATATGCCAGGATTTTTTAACATGCCCAGTAGCAAGACAATGTGAAATTTTTTTTTAAGCTCGAGGTACCTATTTTAAACAACTCATCTAATGTGCATTTCTCAAGAACTATAACTCGGATAGAAGGAATTTATAAACTCACATTAGTAAAAGTTTTTATTAATATACTTAATAAAATGTGTTGGCATGGTTTACTGAAACATGTTAGGAGCACCTTGTAATCTTACCAATAGTTTCTGGAATAGGCTAAGTTCCCATTTATTGAACATAGCAAGAAGGCATTGGAATATGTTTCTTGTTAATTGTATGAAACATTAATAATAAAATGAAATAATGTGTTAATAGAAAAAACAATATAAAACAAATATCTAAATGTAAAGGAAAACTTTAATAAAGACAATTTTATTTGATAAACTTTTATTGTACATATTTTGTAGATATATCACAATGTGTAGTTTGTTTGTTTTGAACATTCACTACAATTACTACATACATATGTTATTACGAAAATAATACAGTTCAATTTGTCCTAGACCTTGAATTTGTTATTCTACAGCAAGACTTCTTAAACCATAAGTCGCGACCCCAAATGGGCTTAGCGAAATCTTGTGGTCGCGAGATTTTAATGTAAAATATTTAATATTCTCTTTTATTTATGTTATTGCAAAAAAATGCAGTTTTGATGAAAAACAGGGTATATAATTTTTGTAACTATAATAAATACAATTTTACAACTTTTTATGGTATGGTATTTTTTTTTTAGGTAATAATATATATATTGTTACCTAATCAATAAATCATCACAAAATATTTACATATCTTAATTTTATATTTTTTGAAAAAAAAAAAAAGTTTAAGAAGCTCTGCTCTACAGCATAAAATTTCCAAGATTTAATATGATATTTTTTAACGAACCATCACAAAAAATAAATTTTATGAAAAATACAAAAATAATCTATAATACGTTTTACAGATGGCAGCGTATTACAGGTGTCTTTTAATCATCCTACCGGTGATGCATACATTCAACGAATATCTATTGCCCCCGCTAGTAACGTTACTTGTAACATAACAAATGTTTCATCCGAGACTTCATTTATTATCGCTCAAATTCATACGTATCAATATAACGTCACGCTGTCTTATACTGAAGATGATCTTAATAAAGTTTCAAATAATAGCGTATTCGGATCAAATATCGGCCTTTTAATTAGACCAGGTTCAAACATAATGACGCAGCTGTACTTGAAAAATGATAACGTCCACCATGTGGACGCTCTACTTGTTGGTATTCCTTACAATGACAAAGGTGAGTACTCTTGATATTCATCTTGTATAAACACATTGATTTATACAATGTCGATCATCTTGTTGAATTAGACGTTTTAATTTAACTATATTGGACTTTGTATGGGTTTTGTAATTATACTCTGGAGAAATTTAAAGCAATTTCCAATCTTCTTTGATAAGCTGTAATATAGTAATAGTATCGTGGATTACTGCTTGACTCGCGGGTCACAGGTTGTCGATCACTGACATAGATCGTCATGCCTGGAAATATGTATTGTTTAAGTTATCAATTAATAAATTGGACTTTTGGAATGTCCAATATTTTCAGGGACGCCCTCTTATATTCCTTTTTAATAAAAACAAGGATGCCTTATCTATTAAGTGGTTCTTATCTCCATACTGTCGTTAAATACATATTTCTTCGCGTATCGCAATTTTTCGAATAAGCTGGTAACGATTATTCTACCGCCTCGTATATCGTCCATTATTTTTATTCAAGGAAATGTGGCAGTCAAATTGCTTCAACTTCTTCTTTGGAAATTGATTTCACAAAATTGTATTTAAGTCCTGAAATTACAGTTATTTTAAGTCCAGATCACTGCAATACCAACAGTTTAGTGTTTAAAATATGTATAAATATTCTGAAGTTGCATTCCTTTGCTAGGAATTAATTCTTAAAGAAAATTTTATTTTGGAGCAATTTGACCAACTTAGTCCCCTCGCAATAGAAATCGAACGGGTCGATAGTAAATTTCATAAGATAAAAACCGTCCAGCAATCTCGTCCATCAGATCATTGTTCTCTTCGCAGCACCCGTACCGGGTGGATGCAACATGGAATTCAATACCAAAATAGCTCCATATGCAAAGGTGGTCGCGGACGACACCACGGTGGTCGTCGACGTGCAACCAGCATCGATACCTTTTAACAACACCGCCCAACCGATTTGCGAAAAAAATAAGGTGGAGCTCGAAATCTATCAAATGTTCTTAAGCGAGCAGGACTTCACAATTGATAGCTATTTCATCGGTATTACAAATATGTTGACCGTGGAGGATATCATACAAAATGGTCGTAAGGTACTTCACTTTTTTGTCTCGTTTAAAATCGTTAGAATCGTATACATAGTGCTCTGGTCCGCTTCAGAAATTAATTTGGATTAGTATTCGAAAGGAATTAAGTAAGTTCATTTAAATGTCTGTGCCCTATTTGACTTTATTTTGACTAATTGAGCCAGAGTATTAGTATTCCGTTCGTCTGTTTACAAACATTCGTCTATATCTCGCTAACCTTGCTGATTAAACCTCCGTGGTTTATGAGTCATTTCAGTTCGTTGTTGCGATAAGAGCATTACTTGCCACGGTCATGTAGTATTCCTGTACTTGAAATGATGTAATGGCAAGTTATTTTAATTGCGAACAATTGTAAATCAAATAAAATCTATGATAAGATATTTGTTAAATATAGCAACTCAAATATCTTTGTTATTTTTAAAGATACATCAAATATCGTAAGGACAATGTTGAATGGTTTAATGGGGCTCACGTGATGCCAAAAACATTTTTGCTTTTGTAATTTTTTTTTTAAATATCAGGGTCACTTTCATTGTTTTTAATGGAACCGCTCTTTTTGAAACACCTACAATGATAGTCCCTTTCATTAGAAATTCAACGACCATAATTATTCAAGGTTATCTAAGGTCACGGACGGAGAAAACGTATAAGATTTACTACAATATGAAAGCAGAATACCTGTATTTCATAGATGTTGTAATGTAAAGTGGCTCTGAAGGAATGTTGAATTCTGACAAGTACATCCGAGGTAATATTCGTACATGCTGTGATGATATGCTGATGCATATCTTCACCTGTTATTAAAACATTCATGTATACGGTCTCTTTTAGCAGACATAGCGGAATCGCGTTTGGAAACATACTGATAGTAAATAAATTGAAACGGATGCCGTATATTGTTGTAAATGTAATACGTTTTCTCTGCCCGTGACCTTGAATGATCTCGAATAATTATGGTCGTTGAATTCCTAATGAAGGAACTATCATTGCAGGCGTTTCAGAAAGGATGGTTCCATTAAAAAAATGAAGATCACACTGATATCTTAAAAACAAAAATGTTTTTGGCATCGCGTGAGCCCCATTGAACCATTCAACTTTGTCCTTACAACATTTGATTTATCTTTAAAAATAACAAAGATATTTGAGGTGCTAATGTTAGGTGATTCACCCTGTATATCTTGAAAGAATGAGTTCACGATCATAATAACGAAGAATATTTTCTGATAGATATCGGGTTCACAAGCGTTAACACCAATGAGACGAGTCTTCAACGCGTACACCGGAACTGGATCGGTTTACGCAGCAGTGGCTAAATA